ATAAAAAAGTTAGCTAAAAATATATATGAGTTTTTGCTTTAACGATTTTTCAAATTTAAAAATTATATAATTTTATTATTTTTCGATTAATTTTTATATTTTATATTTTACTTAAGAATTTGCAAAAAACAATTCAAAGTTCAAAAATTTATATTAAAAAAAATTCTTGAAAATTTCAGTATCTTTTAAGACCAAAAAAAATATGACTAAAATGTAAATTTTTGAGTTTACGGTTTTTTAAATTTCAAAATTCTGTATTTTTCCGGTTTTTTGGGTACATATATTTTTTTTTAGCGTCGAATTATCACCCCAAATTGAGATGAGAACTATTTTCATAACTATAAGATCAAAACTTCTGACCGAAATTCATTCGTCGATTGGACATGGATTGACCCGTTAACATACATATATTTGAGTTTTTGTTTTTATTTTGACATTCTTTTTTTTTCTTTGTTTTCTCTTTGCAGCTATCTAGTACGACCATCACCATTTTCAGCGCAAAAAACGTTCGAACGTCACAATTCGCGCCGCAAATCAAACATATCCTTCTGTTCGAATATCAATTTGGGTGCCGCTTGCGGTACAAACGTTAATGCAACACAGGGTGCCGGCTCACGTCGCGGCTCCGGCTTAGCCGGTCTTAATCCGATGCAAATGCAAAGCGTCCAGACGTTGGCCGGGTATGGTTCGCCACGCTGCTCGCCGCCAATACAACAAATTAAATCCAATTCTCTTTCTCTACCCGACAGTCCGACGGTTGTTGGCGCGCAGCGCGGCCGGAGCAATTCATTGCGGGTTGGCTACTATTTATCCATTTATCCAATGGCGTTAACACTTTTCATTTGTTGCCTTTACCGTCACTGGCTTGACACCTGTATACTCGTGTGTATTGTTTTTGTTTTGTTTTGTTTCGTTTGAATTTTTCTTCACTCTTTATCATTTCTAACTGCCTGTCTAATATCGTCCAACACAATGTACAGCAATAACGGTTTCATATTTTTACACTTTTTACTTTCCCTTTATTGAATTATGTTTTAATCTTGTAATTGATCGTTATTTGATTGATTAAAGAAATAAGTGAGTAAATAAGGCTAGATACCGCATAAATCGCAAGTGTAGTAAAAACCTTTGTTTGCACGCTCCTAACAACGCAGTAGGATTTTTTAGGGTCTTTAAAGTTTTCACTGAAGACCAAGGATTTGAAAAAAAAAAATATGAAAAATACGAACATTCTAAGAGAGTTCAGGGTATGGACATATTGGAGGGAGCTATAGCGTCTACGAGTGACTTGTTGGTTTTAGTAAGAAGCCATTTAATCACAGAAATAAACGGAATGAAATATTTGAGCATTTCTCGGATCTGTGACAATTTTAGGGATTTCCTTTGGAAAGTTAATTCAAATTGCAGATTTTAAGAACTTAATATGGTGAAACTAAGATGGCTGACGATATTTTCCATAAATTTAGTTTACAGTTCAGTTGGACAATTTCTTCTTGAAACCCTGATAAGCTGGACCTCGTTTCAACATAAATTCTAATACCTTAGTTTCAACCTTAAAAATCTAATGGCGGCGATTATGTAGATAAAATTTAAAAGATAATCAGACTTACTTATCTTGAATTTCGCCCGAAAACAAATTAGCACGAATTTTTTTCATTTCGGGCGAAAAGTCATAATAAGGTTGAATGTAATAAAGTCCAAAGTGAGTAGTCAACAGAAGCATAACATGTTTTTCCCAATTTTTCTCAAAAAAAATAACATGGTGGGCCATCTTGTATAAGTATAACTTTCGGTATAAAGAGAATCTGAATAATTATTTAAAGCACTATAGTGATTTTTAAGGGCTATTCTTTTTCGTGGTTTCTCAATTATTGATATGTATAAATAAATTCATCAGGTACCTATGTAAATAGTTTTTTTTTTTACTTTTTATTGCTTTTGAAGAAAAAAAATCCTATTTTTTAGTATTTTTTCTACATAATTTAATTTTCCATCAATTTTTTTAGTATAAATAATGTGTGCATATGTGTGATTGTTTTAATACTCTCCAATGTGTAAAATAGATGGGATCCGGAAACTCGCTAACGCTACATAACTATCGACTATCAACTAAAAATACCGATAATAAAAATGTCCTCGCAGTGAATACTAAAATAAATTTTTTTTAATTAAATTAATTTTTCGTACTCACCCAGCCAGTAAAATATATCCGGAAACGTATCTCAAAATGGAAAAAAATCTTTTAAAAAAATCTGATATTTCACCTATTTTCCAATATAAAAATGTTCAAAATTCAAAATGTTTTCGTCGTGATCTACACGGTTGATTATTCATAGCTATTGAAAATCAAACAAAAAAAAATTATTAAGTTTCCGCAATTATATCAATTTAATCAATTTTTGTATCATTTTAATGCGTTGCGTCTGACGGCATTCGAAACTGGGACTTCTTGAAAGCTAAAAAAGCATTGAAAATTATATCTTTATTTTTAATTATTTGTCGATGTTATACGATATACTATGTTAGCGATGGCAGAGTACTTTTGAATCCCACCATAACTGTTCCACTAACACTGTCAACACTATATCCAACACTAAGCACACTCTTACCACTATCTACTAATCAATATGTACGGCACCAAATCCAACCCCCAAACCATCACCACCACACTGCACACCACACCAACCGATCACACCGATCATCGATCACCGTTCACCGATTGCGTGCGACATTTGTATCACCAACACCCACTATGGCCATCGATGTGCGACCACCTGTTGTTGGCTGTTGATTGCTTGATGACAGTGGAAACCGAGAATCAGTGGAGTCGCGTCACCGCATTTGTATCTGCATTTACATAATTTTAGAACTAATTACTAATATTATTACAAAAAAAATATAGTATATTTGCAAATTTTTAGTAACAATTATTTCAATATTATTTTTTACTAACATCAATATTTGGCAAAAACTTACGTAAAATATTTTTCCACAAATAAGTGTTGTTTTGCAATATATATTTATACATATATATTTTTATTTTTTAATTTTTTTGCAATCACCGAAAAGCGACACCCCATTTTTCGTTGTTGTTTTCAAAAGATTGGTAAATTTCCCGTTTTTGAATCGGTTTCGTTCCGCTTACTTTCACTTGCAGATCGACAATGATATATTGCTGCGGCGTTCCTCCTCGCTGCGGCAGGGTTTACCCAATGTCGGTGTAAGCCATGGCCGACGTAAATCTTCGCTGGAGGAAATAGGCATCAGTCACTTTACAACGCTGATGCAGGCAACGAATCATTCGAATCCAATAAAAATTGCGCTCAATGGCAGTATAGGATTGGAGGTGAGTTTTTTCTTTATTTTATTCCATTTAATCACAATATTCACTTTCAATTCCGCCATACTATTTAGGTCACCCCACCCGAAGAGCCCACGCCAATTTTAGGCGTACCCTGCATCATAGCGGGTAGCGCCGGTGGTGGCATTAATCCCTCAGCTTTGGGTGGCTCTACACTCGGCGTTGGTTCATCGCTGGCCATTAATACAGCCGATCTTGGCGCCTCACCCACATCGAGCAACACAAATTCACCGCTACAAGTGCCACAACAGGATTCACAACAATCCGGACAAATGCAATCACCGCAACATTTACAAGGGACAATTGTATGATACAACCTTATGTGGGGTCGTAGGCTCCGCTCGTCGATATCGAAGAAAAACAAATGGATATAATATAAGTAGAAATCGGAACGGTGCTAAGGTGTCGCCACAGCAGCGGAGTCCAACTTGACCAGAGTAAAATTATATGTAGCACAGTGCGCACACTGGACATCACAGCTCACACACAACAAATGGCAAGCATAGACGACTAAGCACAAGTAGTTAGGAGCAATTGAAATTGCGTAACTGGAGTGTAGGTAGTTAGATATGCACATCATCTATTGAAGAGTGAGCGATGGAAACGTAGGAAAATTCGGGACAAAGGCTGAATGTCGTCAAATTAAAACTCGTTCATAGGCAACGATTTAAAATATGCAGTAGGTTTGAAATTGAAAATTTTGAGTTTAAGCTCCATAGTGATTAACTGTATTTATGTTATTTATGTGCATATATAGATAAGATGAATCGTTCAATTGTAGTTGTAGAAAGGCTTTTAAAGTTATGCGAAAAATAATGTATTTATTTACATAAAACGATTATTATTTCATTAAAATGTAGCAGAACTATGTAAATCATGATTATTTATTTGTAGTCTTAAAAAAACTATCATTTATTTGTGGTTTATTCTTAAAATATTTTAGCAAATATTTAACTGTTTCATTTCATGTTCTTCTTTTTGAAATGTGTTCATGATTTTTTTTTCTCGGAAATAAAACTAATTTCCTGTAAAAATTTTTCTATTTGGCATTTTTTTATTTGCTAGTATCTTAGTTAAGGCATTCCAACTANATTTCCTGTAAAAATTTTTCTATTTGGCATTTTTTTATTTGCTAGTATCTCAGTTAAGGCATTCTGACTTTTTGAAAGCATTATCGCGCCCTTGGAGAGATCCAAGGTTCGAACACTCGGGCAGCAGAAATTTTTTTATGGTATTTTTTTTTTTTTAATTCTTGTTTTTTGCAATTTTTAAATTTTTTTGTTTTAACAAGAAACACATTTTTTTAGTTAATTTAATTTTTATGGTGTTAAAATGTATTTCGCCCAAAGGAAATTAAATTCTCATATTTGTGATTTATATTTAAATTTAAATTATTCAATTAATGCGGTATATTCTGGATTTCGTGCGAATCGAAAATTTGAAATTTTTGTATAGAAAATTATAGCAAAATTTCATGATTTTCGATTCGTACGAAAACAAGAATACGCCCCAATATGAAAAATTTTAGCGAATTCGATTCTGATACAGTGCTACTAGAATTTGTTCGCCAAAAATCGGTCAAGTGAAGACTAAATCTTCAAAACTCGGAAAAAAAGNTGGATTTCGTGCGAATCGAAAATTTGAAATTTTTGTATAGAAAATTATAGCAAAATTTCATGATTTTCGATTCGTACGAAAACAAGAACACGCCCCAATATGAAAAATTTTAGCGAATTCGATTCTGATACAGTGCTACTAGAATTTTTTCGCCAGAAATCGGTCAAGTGAAGACTAAATCTTCAAAACTCGGAAAAAAAATAATAATTTTTTCGTGAAGCAATTATCCTTTTTCAACAATTTCAAGAAATCCGCGAATCAAAATGGCGAACAAAAAATATGACATTTAAATTTTTTAAAAAGAAAAATTCAGCACATTCTTCAAAAAAAATGTCCTAAGTGTGTTTAATTACTTTTTTAATTACACATTGTTTCTAAGCAAATAGTTCATAAATATTCGAAATAATTTTATTTCATCGGCACACTACACGAAAGCCCAAAAATTAAAAATTTCGAATAACAAAGAATCCTAGCATATTAAGAATGCCCCATATATATCCATATGATTTAATATTTGTAAATTATAGATTTAAAATGTTTTAATATATCTTAATTTTCGTTTGAATCAATATTATGAGACAATTTCGTTGCCTGTTTTTGTCTTTTTACTAATTTTTGTTTTATCTAAATTAATTTACATTTTTTGTTGAAATCACATAAAAAATCTTCAAATGCTGCCAGAAGTCTTCATGGTGAATATCTTCGATATATTCTCTTTCAATGTAACTTCTTCAGTTTAAAATTTTGACGATATATTTTTTTTTCAAAATAAGTCTTCACTTCTGGCAACGCTGACCTGTGATCTCAGAACCAGAAGCGCTAGTCGTTAAGCCGACACTTGTGTGAATTATTTGCATTTGCGTTTTGGATTTGACAATTTTAAGCAGATGTCGCTGATCGCATAAGTCGAACTGGTAGGCCACCGCTTCAGCTCATGGTAGTTCTAAACTGGTATTTTTACTTACCTTTTTAGCTATTTCCGGCAGAGTCATTTGAGAGTACTTTTTGAGTTTTAACAATGTCTTTCTCAGTAAAAGTGCATTAGAAAATAGTTATACGAGTTACAGTTTTTATAGCTTTAAATCTTGCATTAAACACTTGGAAACAACTTGGAACATAAAAATTGTTATACAGTTTATACGGGTAAACAAGAGCGGACCCTATTTATATTTTTGCTTATCGGAATCGGAAATGAAGAAGAATGGTAAAAGAAAAGTTAAGATAGTACTTTGTATAGCTTGGTCTTTACGCAGCTTTTTACTAAACAACAAAAATCTGAAAAAAATTCTGCCTTTAGTCATATGGACAACGTCCAAAAGCGGTATATGGTGTGTTGGGTGCATCAGTTGCCGGCATTCATGTTGGTGAATGCGTTCATCGTTTCTCTGTGAATGTCGTTGATTTTCGTTGTACAACCTCCCAGAGGTAAGATAAATCGATGCAATCTGGAATAAGCAAAACATTTTAAGGAAATATAAACCTGAGTATACTACTCGTATTCAGTGGAAGTACCCATGAAAGCAATAAAAGGATATAGATTATAGCACAATCTCACTGTCTCAGATCGAAATATGCATTGAAAAAAGAGATAGTCTACGATATGAAAAGCATTTCATGCGAGGGTTGCATTTTATATTTTGTGCCTTTAAATGAAAACACAGTAAAATAATAATGAAATGGCCAAAATATTCTCCTTGGAGGTCTGCATTCGCTTGAACCAATTTTCAAATGTTTCCTTTTTTTGCCAGTTGTCAAACGAGAACAGAAATTCTTGATGACCAAATGTTCTTGCAATATTGAATGTATGCATAGTCCCCAAGGATTTCTCTATCTTGCAATACATCACATGACGATCTTGCGTTATCAGTTGACGCACAGCATCGATTATTTCTGGCGCAACAATCCTTTTTGGATGGCCTTTACGAAATTAATCCTAATTAAGGATCGACGGCTACGTTGGAACTTGTACCAGAGTCGCTAGATGTGGTGCTTCAACGGGGAAAGTCGAAGTAGGTTAATCAATGCATTCATGGCTCTATAATTTATGTCGAAAATCATACCAAATCATTGCGCAAAAATTTTCACTAGTTAAATCCATCTTTTGGGCGAGATGAATTTTTCTACTCACTGAAAAAAGAACAAATAAAACTCGTCGATAAAAATGTCGAAACACGTAGTGTTGCAAAGGCGCAAAATATAAAAGACAACCCTCGTAGTAATAAGAATGATATATTTCTATATATCGGTACCTTAATTCACAAAGGTTCTAACCAACACTCTTTTCGAACAGATTTTGGTAGGATATAGGAAATACACCTTCAATAAAACTTTTGAAGTGTTAGAACANTAAATCATTGCGCAAAAATTTTCACTAGTTAAATCCATCTTTTGGGCGAGATGAATTTTTCTACTCACTGAAAAAAGAACAAATAAAACTCGTCGATAAAAATGTCGAAACACGTAGTGTTGCAAAGGTGCAAAATATAAAAGACAACCCTCGTAGTAATAAGAATGATATGTTTCTATATATCGGTACCCTAATTCACAAAGGTTCTAACCAACACTCATTTCGAACAGATTTTGGTAGGATATAGGAAATACACCTTCAATAAAACTTTTGAAGTGTTAGAACTAAAAACAACGGAGTTACATGCCTTTTTTTTAAAAATGCATACCTTTTTTGATACTCATTTTCTAATGTTTTTTGCTTCTCCTGTAAAATAAAAAATTTGTTGGTTAGGACCTTTGTGCATTAAGGTGACGATATGTACATTAGGGTGTGTTAGGAAATATTATTATCTACGTGCAACGTAAAGGCATTCGCGAAAGTTTCAAAAAAAATAAATAAAATCTTTTTTAAATTTGCAAAAATTCGAAAAAAA